GTTCCACCCCCGGCCAAGTTGTACTTCGCTTTCCGAAGTGCTACTCAAGCAGGGTGGCTCACAAACAGGGGGAGTTGGAGAACTACAGAAAACATTAAGTCCACACACACACACACACCACACACGCAAAGACACACATGCCGGGCGCGTGCCAGGACTCCTTTGCTTTCTAATGTCTTGGGAGAAAATCCCAGCATGTTTAACACTGAGGTACGGGTGTACATGGGGAATGGCACCTACCCGGGCATATCTGGCTGAGCCTGAGTACAACCAAAGTCCAAATGGGCGTGTCGGTTTTTGAGGGTGCGTAGAATCTGCCTATCCCTGGTGCAAAGCTAGCTCAACATGTTCGAGGTTGCTTACTTGGCGATTGCCGCATTCCAGTTGTTGTAAGTTTCAGTCATTCAGTCACCTCGCCTCGCTGCTAAGGTTCACCGCATCGCCTTGGCACTGGCCCCGGCGTCAAGAACGCAAGCACCCGATTGGGCCTATGTTCCTCTGGCACTGGTAGAAGTACCCCTTGAAATTATGAACATGACATATGGCGTGCACGCCCCTGCTCACAGGAAAAAATGAACGCCCCTAACATGACATCCACCTACTTTCCCAAAATGAAGATTTGAGAGCCCACCGAAGACGGTCACTTTAATGACCGTGAGTTTGGTTGTTGACCTGATGGCTCAGCAAAACACCAAACTCACAGATCAAGGATTTCCGAGATCAACCTACTGGGGTGGTAGAACATGGGTAATCCTTTACTAATCCCAGTAGTCCGTAGTGGGGCAACAAAAGAAATCTAATCTGGCATGGGGACTAAGGATGGATTTCGACCACCATATTTCACCACACCAAGTAGGTTTCAAGGAGTGCTTCCTGCCGATCACCAAAAAAAAAAAACAATGTTCTGCCGTTGAAATTTGGGATAGGGGAGCCCTCCCACAGAGATTTTATTTTCTTGGTGTGTGTTTCTTTTTTGGGGAGCGGAGTGAGACACATGGTCGTGCGACAAGATGTTGCCTGACATGCCATGCTGAAATCTGAAGCAGGGATTGGAGGGTTGTTTTGGGAATCCCGTGAGAGATACAGTCGCATTTCCCGATGTACTGCTAGAGGGGGAGAAGGCAAAGCATAGCGAAGCCGTGAAACTTTTCACAGACTGCGGCCGGTCTACTGGAAAGCATTGCGCCTTTCATTTGGTGTGGGAAAATTCCCATCGTCATCGCATACCACTTTGCCACTTTGCCGCAGGGTAGTTGCTCCGTGAGTTCTCAAAACTGAAAGAACCAAACTGAGGGCGGCAGCTTGCATCAAAGGTCCCCAAGGCGCCATCAAACAGAATGGGCAGTGGCTTCTGCGCGGCTAAATATCAACTCCATGGTCCCAGAAGGCCCCCTGAAGTGGGAAGTGAAAGGCCAGTGGCTTTAAGGCCAGTGGCTTTAAGGCCAGTGGCTTTCCTGGATTCCATTTGAAAAGCCCAAGCCCATGAGTGATTCCAGTGATTCCGTTTTGAAGGCGTTTCCCTCCAAACAAAAGGCAACGACCACGGCGCATGGGGCGATGGAGTCCGAGGTGCTGCCAATGGCCTTCCATTCATCCTGAACGGATCCAGGACGAGGCCGAGCTGGAGAAATCCCAAATGGGAGATACCTTGAAAGACATCAGAATACTGTGAGGCCCCATTATTTTACCATGATCAAAGTCACCCCCTAAGTGGTGGGGTAAAGGGAAACAACCACATTGACTGACTTTGATAACCACAAGAAACAGGTATAACAATGGCCCCAGACAGTGGATGGACGAAATTCTGCACCGTTGGTACAAGCGGTTCACCCGGTTTACCCGCAATATTTACAAGGTGTCATCCATCCCAACGGGTGCAGGATTTTGTCAATCCACAGCATGATTAAGCATATCCCTGCAAGTGAAGGCTGAAGCCGGCATGTTGCCTCAATTGTCGGGCAAACCATACGCCAACATTAACTGTACAAGCGGTGGAAATATGTTGAACTTCGGGACTTTCTCGGGGGCGCCATCAGGGAAGTCAACATGAGAAGAAGCCCTTTGAAGGGAAAACCCGCGCATCAATAAGGGAAAGCCAGTGCAGCTGCCTCGGGGTTGCCGCATAAATCATATCCTTAGTACGATCCCCAAATATGGAAGTGTCTTGGGGGGGGGAACCCCCTTTGGTTGTGTTTAAGGGAACTCAACAGGGAGGCACCCCTTCAAGGGATCCCCATTGTAAGACACACCCATATGGCTTGTCTCAGCCTGAAAAACCCTTTTTGATGGCTTGACAAAGGAAACTGGCAACCTGGCCTGAATGTTGTTGAACCGCGCTTTATGTAGGACGTATGAACCAGAAGAATGCTTTGGGTGGTTCCTCTCTCCCAAATCACCAAACATGTTTTCAGTTGTTAGTATGAGCCCCAAGCAAACAAAGCAAGATGCTTAATTACTCTCCACGGGCACATGGACAATTGCGTGCCCCCATGTTTTGTTTGAGCTTCGGATGGGCCCCCCATGTCCTCCCCAAACTGACTACCAGTAATGTTGTCAGTTTAGCTTCTCATGTGACGTTTTTGGACAGGCCCTTGCTATCAACTTCATCGAAGGCGCCAAGGCTAAGCTCGAGATGTGCGAATCCAGGGATGTCAACATCAGCCGCCAAAGGAACTGGACACTACTACATCTACGAGCCCAAGCTACTAAACCCCTGGTGAAGTACTTTCGGGGCTTTCCATTTGCATCCTGGAGAGGAAATCCTTCCCTTGTTTCTTTTGGGGGGGAACACCCCGCTAAGCCGCCGGGCGCTGCTTAAATCCGGGGTCCGCATTGCATCAAACTACTGGCAATGTCAGCTTTCTGCTCCACCAAAAAGAGGGCGTCAACATCGGAGACCACCCCAAGCTGTCCTTCACACGGCCCATACCCTTCAGGGCGAACTGCTTCTCCGCCAATTTGCCTCAGGCGGCGTTTCCGGGGCTGCCTTTGCAACACCCCAGGTCTTCGCCTCGAATACATGGCACCGTTCATAAACTTTCTTGGTCTGCCCGAAATTACCGAAGCAGGCGAAAGGATCGCTGACCTAAAGGTATTCCCTTCGTACCCGCCCAACCATCCTGGCAGTGGGGATCCTAAAAATATGTCCCTTTGTACCCGCCCAACCATGGCCAGTCCCCCGGATTTCGAAAGACTTCCATGCTCTTTAAAGGGCCTTCGGTCCACATTCGAAGGTGGCTGGCTTCCGGTTCCGTGAGCTGCGAGCGGCCGTCCCTTTGGCCGGATTTTTTGAGGTGGAGGACCACCCCGAAAAGTGGGGGGCAACTGGGATACGCTAAAATCCGGTAAGGACTGCCAGAACCCCTGACAGATTCTTTGTGAACAAGTCAAGCAGTTGTGCCAGCGAATGATAGAAATTAACTCAAATGGTCCAAGTCAGGAGTCAAATTAGCAAAAGGCACGCCCCACAACTTCTGGATTTGAAAGGACAAAAATTCGACGGGTCTGCGGTGGCTTTAGTATGAGTGAAGTCCCACCCACCCCACCCCCCCACCCCGGGCCGAATGCGCATCACCACCCCTGTGCAACATGCTTCCCGCACTTCTTGCTCCAGCCTCAATGCAATCAGCATGCAAAAGCAGCTGGTGGCTGATTCAAACCTAATTCCCATTCTACAGCTACACAAGCCTGCTTTAACGGCCAAACAAGCAGCCCACCGCTCTGTCATGACCCAACTGTAACGGTGTGTGCCCTGCGTGATCGATCTTGTCCTTATCAGCACCTGCTCGCAACAAACAATTTACCACTTCGTGGTGCCCACCAACCGCGGCCGAATGCAAAGGCGTGCGCCCAAAATGATCCAATGTCCCCACGTCCGAACCTGCGTTCAACAAGCAACCCACTATCTCCAGGTGGCCGTTCATGGCGGCCATATGCAAAGGTGTGCGCCCGGCACGATTAGCGTTATCTTTGTCAGCCCTGGCATCCAACAAGTACCTGACCAAATCCCGGTGGTCATCCAAAACAGCAAAATGCAAAGGCGTGCGCCCAAGCGAGTCCACTTTGTCCTTGTCATCACCAGCCTCAACCAAGCGACGCACAACTCCCCAATGGCCCTTCATGGAGGCCAAATACAAAGGCGCTTGCCCAGCTCGATCCATCTTGTTCTTATCAGCGCCTGCTTCTATCAAGCAATACACCACTTCCTGATGGCCACCATCGGCAGCCAAATGCAAAGGTGTGCGCCCAGATTTATCCAATGTGCAAATGTCGGCACCTGCTTCCAACAAGCAACTCACAACTTCCTGGTTGCCACCAACTGCAGCGGAATGCAAAGCTGTGCGACCAGAACTATCCCGTTTTTCGTGGTTGGCCCGTGCTTCCAGCAAGCAACGCACTATCTCCGCATAGCCTTTTATGGCAGCCAAGTGCAACGTTGTGCGCCCTTCACGGTCGTCAGAGTCAAGCGCCACTGGATCAACAGGCTCCTCCAAGAAGCGCACGACTTTTGCAAGGTCGCCGTGATCAACCGCTTGCAACAGACTGTCCTTCCTCTGGCCTATGTCCACGCAAGGTTGCACGTAGACTGCAAAGTTGCCAACGTCGCAGCCACGTTCAGGTCCCAAAATGTGATACGCGCAAACCACACTGAGCTGCCTGAAGTTTGGGAGCGTTCGCCGCTTGGCCACCTCCCGTCTCAAGCAATCTAGAAAGTCAGCTCCTTGGCTCAACAGATCTTCCCTCAAGCGAGAGAGCTCCTCTGCTGTCATCACTTCCTCGCCACTCACCGCCATGAACACTGCCATGACCGAGAGAAATATTGGGTTCCAAACAAAGGGAGCCCCTTTTAAGGCAAACGGACACCTTCGAGAATTGCCGCGCCCGGACAGCTCTTGATCAGAAGCATGCGAGTTCTGGAATTGCAGAATTCCACTGTACACACATTGCCACACATGTCCCTCCTCAATTTATGTCAAAACAAAAAACAGGGAGATGCGGTGACTGTTGTATACACGAATTAGTATATCCCATCGATCACACAAAGGATCGTCTTGGGCAAACAAACTGACTTTTGGCCACGGCTTCTAGACTTAGCCATTCAGAAATGAAGCTGTTGCGAATTGGGAAGCGCTGCGGTTTTATTGTCTCCAAAACGGGTTGGCACCGAACATGGAAAGGTCCATAATGCAACCGGGTTAGCGGCAGCTTTCAGGAATAACATGGAAACTCGCCAGCAGATCATATCTTGACTCAAGATCCCCTGGCATCATGGGCCCTGAGGATCTGGTCTGCACGCCTCGTAGGACAACAAGAATAACCGAATAACCGTCAAACAGGACAAATTCAATGGCAAGAGCAGGTCACCTGGGACAAGCCAGACAAGCCAGTCTTGGATTGAACTTGCCCCTTGGGCTCATGGGATGAATCCTGCCAAGCGGGCGAATCACAGGCAGGTTCAGTCGTCCAAAAGACTTTGGTCGACAAGATGACTGAACATGGGCTGGAGAGAAAAAAAAGAAGAAAAAAAAAAACGCAAAAGCGATCGATCTAAGACTTGCTGACCGGCGAGACCATTGTCAAAACTCTGTGGGGGTCGCCCTGAACTGCCTAATCCCTGGGTCCATCATCCCTCTGAGGTTCTGGGCTCGCGTCCAACGTCCAGACCTGCAGCAAACTCGGCGCGCTCTGGGCGGGGGTTGCTAGAAAGGTCAAACAGGTCAAAGGAGGCTGTGAGATTCAACCATACATCCAGGAACCATCCAGCTTGATGACAGAGACACTTCTGTTGGCATAAACTGGGATGCATGACAAGAGCGCATGGCTGACCGGGGCGGGGGGTCCCAAGGCTATTGGGGTTCCAGGTGAATCTGGTAGGAGTGTGATTCCAAGTGGGTGTGTGTTTTCCTTTTCAGCAGCTTTCAAAAGGGAACCCGCTCATTTTGGGGGTTCCTTAAAAAAATTGACACACCCAAGTAGGATTCCCATCTTTGGTTCTTCCCTTTGGAGAGGCATGTATGTCATATCATGCTGCCTCAATCTGCCTCAATCTGCGGGCTCTGGGAGAGCTTTCTCTTCGGGGCCGATCCGCGCTCTTTGAGCAGCCCGGCGGAGGCGGCGGCAAAGTTCGCGGCGACCTTCTCGGCGATGGCCTGACACGGGGGACTTCAATCGGCCCAGCCGGGTGAACCGAGATCCTAGAAAACGGGCTGGAGTTGCACTTGTGGATTTATTTCGCCCTTTCTTCCCCTCATGGTCCTTTTTAGCAATCGTTTAGAACTCTTTTAATATTCTGCGGTTCTAGATAGATGGCACAATGTCCTTGGGAAGCAGGGGATGAGTACACCGAAATGGGGGAAAATTGCCATCTAATTGCGCCCAACTGTAGTCAGTGGTTAATATCAGTTGTTGAATTCATTCCCCCAGAGCCCTACTTCGGAAGGCTGAACCAAAGGTATTGACGCTTAGTGGCTTCAGTTGGTTCATAGCCCCGATGCCCACGTGGCTAGGCCTCGTGTGTTGGCTTTAATGGCATGACTGGAAAGTTCCCCATGGAACGAATAGGTGGCAGTGAACCCCACAATCTCATCTGGGTGTCTTTTTCTGAGGGTGCCCCTTTGAAGGGTGTCACTCTCTCGTTGTTGTTTTTGCTTGGGGGGGGGGGTGCTCCTCATTTAGCAACAAACCCATGTTTCAGACAAAGCCACCGTTTTGCCGGATTCCTCATCACATGCTCAGACCTCAGAAGCTGAAAACAGATGCCCCCCTTCTGCCCCTTTTTTGAATTGGTTGGTTTGGAGGGGAACCAAAAAATCCCACCCAAAAATCAACGCCAAAAGCTGGGTACCACTGACTGGGCCATAAGACAGACACCACCTGAAGACGAAGGTTTCCTCGCCTTCACCGGGGTCATCTCCGTGCTACCGGAGCCCGTGGCATGGTACAGCCCCACGATCTCCATGCCTCCCACCTCGCAGCGAGGTGAAGACCAGACACCCCAAGAAGTTCGCTTGGGGTCGGCGGTGTCACCCTGTCCCTTGGTTTGGGGTGAAAATCAGGGGAACCTTCAGTTGGTTTCGGGAATTGAAGGTTCAAGTCCGGAAACCACCAATCAAAGGGGTACCTGAGTTGGGGGGCCTTCCAAAAACGCTTCTATTTTACTCCCATTCCATGGGAAAAACAGGACAATCGGTACCTGCTGATTCACATGCAAAGAGACACCCATCCAAACGGCAAAAGAAGGGGTACAACGGGACAACTGTCTCCCTGACCACCAAGAAAGGAACCGGCATACCCCAAACCGAGCCATCCCATGGTGACATGCGTTCATCTGCTCTGAGCCATCCCCACACTGGGGCCAGCACCGCCTTGCAGTGCTCTTCCGCCAGCATGCACGCCTTGGTGCCCACGCTTGTTGCGCCGCTTTTGGTCTCCACATGTTGTGCGTGGCTTTGCCACCTGGTGGTTTTCGGCCCGCGGAGTTGCTTTGCCCGGACATGCTGCTTGTGTCGCTTGTTTTGTCCATTTGGTGATTTGCTCCGTTTTTATTTTTGTTCCGTTGGGTGATTGTCATACTTACCCTGGATGTTTGAATTTCTTCTAGTGTACCCTTTGTGGGTTGACTCGGAAGGGAAACGAAAAGGACCCCGAAGCCCTGGCCCATTTCCAGTTGATCACCTCTTTCGGCGCCCTCTGGACAGGCTTCCAAAAACGAGCTTTTGAACGAATCCGGTGACACCCCCCAAACCAAGGCTTAAAAACAGAGATTCCGAATGAAAAAGTGAGAATGACCATTCCAAGTTGCTGATCAGGACATGAAAGCTTGCAATTGTGGGCACAAAAAAACAAAACGGCTTTCAGGCACCTCGCAACTTGGATCTGGAGAAGCCTATGGAAGGCTCGGTCCAAGGAAGCCGTGAGGGAGGCTCGGTCCAAAATCCCCCAGGGCTTCGGCGATCTTCAGCATCGGCGCCTGGCAATCTTCGGCATCGACAGCGGTCAGATTGAAATTGGGACCTGGGCGTTGCCAAAAACCTGGGCGACTGTGTTTCACTTTAAGTATGGGTTAGCGTGGAGATACAAGAATAAATCTGTGTGATTCCCGCCTCCGTGCGACATCACCATTGAAGGTGTTCTTCTCGGGGAGGTTACCCTTATCTAGACAGAAGCTCATGTTGACCCAGTTTGCAATTCCAGCACTGAGAAGGCAAACCCTCAGAACCCCGCTACAAACCGAAATCCTGAACCTGAGCTTCACGGAATCCATGCGACATCACGCGACTAAAGACTTGCATGTCTTCTACAGGTTGTCAGAAGATTTCTCCAGGCCTCCATCAGATTTGTTGCCTGTTTTGGTATCCATTTTGGGCCGGTGAAGGGAGACAATGGGGTCATCTGGGCGTTTTGAAGATGAAACCAAAGGAAAACACCCATTTTGGGAGGGTCGATCATAAGACCCATCCATCTGAAGCTTCCGGATGGGCATTTCGGAGGGTCCTCAACTCGCCCACACCAACATAAAAGCTGACTGGAGGACCCACCGCTTCTTTCAAAGGTAGCCTTCCGTTGGGTGTGGCTGATGAAATCGACATATGGGTCGGGTCAAAGATGGGTACCCAAAATGGAAAACTGGTAAATGGAAACATGGACTAAAACCTGCGGTCCAAATCCAAGTGGTTTAATTTTGACCCATACCACTCACCCTGTGGTGGGATTCCTATCTGATTTTGGGGTGTATACGTGTATCTTTTTTGAGGGGACTCTTTTGGGGGCTGAAGTGAAGTAAATTCGGGGGGAATCCACCCGTGGTTCGGTGTGGCTCCCTGATTTTGAGTTTTAGCCCGCATGAGGTAATGCATTCAGGAGTATCTTCCCTTCCAAGGCACCAAACCTGTCTGGTTTATTAACGTCATCCTAAATCTTCAAGCACCTACCGTTGCTGACCTTCAGGACCGCCGCGGTCAAAATTGCGGGGAGCCGTACTGGGCATTGGCAAACAACAATTCCCTTCAACAAACATGGCGCCTGACAGAGGGTCCCTAGAGAAACATGGTTTTCCCATCTGGGGGGCCCAGCAAATAATGTCTTCAGATTACTCGGGTTCATGTTTAGTCTGTCCTAACCGAGTGGATCCAGTTACCTCTTATAGTAGGCAACCAGAGAACTGGAAGCACTGGGTCAGGTATAAACAATTATGTTGGAGGAGACCCCAAGCATTTGAAACTGGAAATCGATCCGCGCCAGCGCATGGGTGTGGAAGAGCGGAACGACGTCCAGCACCTTCCGCTTTCGGCTCGACGACGCCGAGGCCCTGCTTTTGGCCCCACGTTGGCAACTGGTTCGCCATCTGAGTACATTCACCAAGGGGGGAATAAAAATTGGTTGGGTCGTAGCCTATATTGCTAACAACCTTACTACCTTGGCCAGATGCGCAAGCGGCTGACCTGTGTTGTATCAGAGGAGAGTACAATGACCGAAAAATGGGGACAGTGTGGATTGTGCTTAAAGAAAGCTAAAGGTAACCAGCCTTGTGGCCCCCCTATTTCGGGAACACCATTGGGCCGAGAAGGGATGACCTGCTGTGTGATATTCTGAAAGGAAGCGTTTAAGAAACTTGCAAGGACCTGGCTTTGACACATAGTTATCGTCCCACTCCTGGTACTAGTACGTTCGCCAAAAAAACTTTTGTTGAAATCACCAACCGACCACGAACCAACAAAACCAAACACTGGAACACATGCCAAGAAGAGCCTCCTGGTTGCATCCTGGTCGAGGGCTTCCCAAATGCAGGATGTTCAGCCAGGTCGGCAAGTGGTTAGGCACCGCAGTGAATTCACCCACTAGCCAAGTTCACTCCGGAAAGAGGGATCGAGTTTTTGGGGCGGGTGATAACCCAGGTGGACAACTTGCTGTTGGCCCAGCACAATCGACATGAGAAGATTCGCGTCCCATGTCCTGAAACCCAAAGGGGCCATGGACAGAGATGGGTGTGTCTGAAAATTCGGGGAGGGAACCCCAAAAAGGACTGAAGTGGCTGTGGCTCAAAACCTGGTACACAACATGGTACCCTGAAACATGGAAACAAAGACCAAGACCTGAGTCAGTTTGCCCTGGCTCTGGAAAAAAAGGTCTTTGAGCCGGACCGGGCACTTTGGGTTCCAGTCGAAGACCAAAAACCGTTCACATGTTGACTCCAACCTAAGATGGCAGAAACCCCGCCTTCAAGACCTTGCCGTCACCGTTGCCCAGCAGGAGGCCCACCACCTCGGGGGGTTCAAAGGTTCCGCGTCACCCCCGCCCATCCGACACATGGTCACCACCATTGCCCAAGTGATCCCACACAACCTTTGCAGATATTCCCGAAACTTTTTGGGAGTTCGGCCACGCAAGTTGGTAGGAACTACGACTTGGTGTTTGGCTCAGTTAGTACGTTGTTGGTAGCTTAGGTTACAACCCGCTTGTCGGCATAAGTGGAGTTGACGGCTGCTTTGCTAATGGGTTGTACCCCAAGTGGCTAACCACTTACTGAGTTGACCACAAACCTCTGTTGTTTGTGTTTGGAAGTTGCGTGGTACTATTTGCTTGGAGTTGGTTGCACGCTTCTTCTCGGGCTTCCCAAGGACACCGCCTTCCCAGCACTGCTCATCAGGGACGCCCCTTGGTTCCGGCACCTTCGGCCCGCTGACAACAGGGGGCTCAGCTCCCATCCCGAAGCAAAGTCAGCTTCGCATTGTGAGAGGTAGTTTCGTTTGTCCAGAGCATTCCTCCGCAAGCATGGAAAAACTGTACAAAGTTCTCTTTTGACTGCCGACCCAAAAGTCCAGTAGCACTTCGCCAACCAGAGCCCGTACGGAAGGAGATCGCCGACTCCTGGTCGGTGGAAAGGTCGCAACATGCAACGGTGCGGATACCTCCTGGGGTTGCACGTGCTTGGGCAGGCTTATTGCTCCTCAACTCCAAATCTCTACCCAAAGGGGAAACCCTTGAAAGTAAACCAAAAACCGCAAAAAATGGCTCCCTTTTGGCGTCCCTTAAAATGATCCCAAAAGAAGACCTTGCCAAAACAAGACAGACCACAGGATCCCCTGGCATTCTCTGCCCCAAAGGCCGAAGGCAAAAGGCAAGACGGGGCAGCGGCCGAGCTGGAGGAGTGCTTGCATCCGTGCAGAACCGCCTGCCACAGCTGAAGACGAGCTTTTGTCAGGTCAGGGGAGGCGGGTTGCCCCCGAAAACAAGGGAAACCTTGGTCATTGTCCTAGACATGGGATGTCTTGTCCTATCATCATTTCAGTCAACAACAAAGATGTAAGGTGCCAAACGTTGACCCAGAACTCACGTTTGAACAGCACCCCTAGTGTTTGGCCTCAGGTTGCCTCCCAAAGGCTCCAACTATTTGTCAGGGTTTTCTCCGAATTCGCTGACCTGAAATCGAATCCCAAAGGTACCCATGCGTGATTTTTGCTTGCCACTTGCGCAGAGCACTGTGGAGAGACGCCGCTGAGGCTTAGCTGCCCAGCTCTGACGTCAGGTGACAAGGAACGGGCATGGATCGGCTTGCTGCTCTCCGGAAACCCTCCAGTCAGATTCCATGTTAGTGAGTGGGATGTTACCTTTCCGCTCTAAGATCGCTTAATCGGCACACATTTACCGAAATATCGCTGCAACAAACTCGTACTGAATTTCTCAGTGGCTTCCCAGCTCGGAAAAGGAGGCACCGGTGACTCTTGCCTTCGAAAAAGGATTGAAGATGTTGTTTCGCTCAATTCCTGATTTTTGCTAACATGCCCAGGAAGAGTGACCTCCTTTCTTTCCCTTACATGAGTCCCCTCCGTTTCCAATACCTTGCTCAAACCAAAGAAACTCAACTCGCCGTGTCCGGGCAAATCTGGACGGAAGGGGCCTTGGCATAGGCCTTCGGGTCGAAGGCGTATCCTGCGCAAGTCGAGTCGCAGGCGTTGAGATGCCACCAGTGGGAGAGGGGTGTGTTGAAGTGTTGGTGTGTGTGAAAGTGGGTATGTCACCGGTGTCCCCTAGTGTCCTGTCAGGAAAAAACTAGAACCTACCTTTCAGCAACAACCCAACTGTTTCAAGCAGATCTGCGAGCAACTCCAATCCCAAGAGATTCCTCTCAATAAATGCCTTAACAACTCTGGGGGGATCACTTCTCAAATTCGGGCCCAGATTGAATCTTCGGGGACCATGGCATACAAGTCTGAAAGGCCAATCGAGCACATAGCTACGAAGCGCTACTGTTTGCTGCGGCCGCCGCAAGCCAAAAACTGCTTCTGACCTGTTCCAGTGAACGGTAGAATGCGAGTGCAAGTCCGCGCCCATTTGGGGCTAAGCGAATTCCATGGCATTGGCACAATTGAACTCAAACCACACGCAGGTGCTTCCTCTGATATTTCACCCCAACCATGTTGGCTTCCTTTCCGTCCGGTGACTCTGTCTGAGTTCCTCTTCCCTGTCTCAAGCGTCACCACCCACATGGCCAGCGCCAGCTGCCGTTGACCACATGATCTAGGCTATCGTCCATGTCAGCTCCAGCGTCCACCAAGCAAAGGATAATCTGCCGATACCAACTCTCCCCTGCCAACTGCAAAGGTGCTTGCCAGTCTTCGTTCAGAGGATTCCTATCAGCTCCGGCTTCCAGCAAGCAGCGCACCACTTCGTCTCTGCCACACAGGGCAGCCACATGCAAAGGCGTGCACCACTCTTCAGTAGCTGCGTTCTTGTCGGCACCAGCTTCCAACAAGCAACGTGCCACTTCCTCATGTCCAAACGCGGCAGCACCATGCAAAAGCGTGCGCCAACCGATGTCGCGCCTGTCAATGTAGGCACCAGCTTCCAACAAGCCATGTACCATTTCCAGATTGCCATTGGAAGCAGCCAAATGCAAAGGAGTGCGCCAATAATCATCGCCGCCTTCACTTGTGCGCGCACCAACTTCCAGTAAGCAGCGCACTACTTGCGTGTGGTCACTTTCAGCAGCAAGATGCAAAGGGGCACGCCAGCTGTTGTCAACTGCGTCCGCGTCTGCCTTGACGTCCAACAAGCACCGCACGATGTCCTGGTGGCCCTCCTGGGCAGCCGAATGCAAAGCCGTGCGCCCGGCATGGCCGCGATCCATGGGATCAACGGGGTCCTCCAAGAAGCGCACGACTTCTGCAAGGTTGCCGTCATACACCGCTCGGCGAAAGCTGGTTTTTTCTGGGCCTAGGTCCACGTACGTTCGCACATAGACAAACAAATCTCCAACATGAGGGGCACTTTCAGGTCCCAAAATGTCATCATAGCCGCCAACTACCCGCAGCTGCCTGAAGTTTGGAAGGCCTTGTCGCTCCGCCACCTCCCGTCTCAAGCAATCCAGCCAATTCATTCCATCCTGCAGGTGACCTATCCAGAGCGAGAACTCTTCCGTCGTCAGCACTTCTTTGCCAGTGATCGCCATAAAGACTGCCATGGAGTCTTCAAACCACAAAAAACACTACAATCTACCCTGAACCTTGACCAAAAGCGTGTCCATCCTGGTGATGCAGTCATGGCCTACTGATAGGCATGCTTCTTTGGTAGACAGGCCATTGCGGCACTCTTGTTAACATGTTGGTGCTTGGTCAGACGCCCAGATTCAAAGTGCTTGGCATTTCTTTTGGCACGGACTTGTGGCCTGCTAGCCGTGTTGGCGAGCGAAAACCCAAGATTAACGACCTGGTTGATCGGCAGAGGATCCTTCACTTCGGGGAAACGCCCCCCAAATATTTCGCGAGGCTGATTAATCTGGGTCGACATTTGAAGGATTGGCATCAGAGCGATGGATCAGGGCTGGGCCATCATCAAGAACCATCGGTCTCAATTGCGGGGCCACGCTGGGGAACTCCCAGGCCGGCAACGGAACTCCCCGGTACCGGACCTCCATGGGTGCTAAAGAGTTAAACCCCCAAGTGGGCGTGTTATCCTTTGTCCAGATGAATCCAAAAGAATTGACTTAGAGCCGTGCGTCCACCCATGTTGTTGTTTTTTGTTTTTGTTTTTTCTGCCGGTGATTTGGCCTGTCTGTTGCTCCTATGTTCTTACCCATGTGCATCCCTGTGGTCCTGGTCACCCCCTTCCCCATGAGGGGAAAGTACGCTTCAAATTCAAATCTGTGGAACCATTGGGAAAAAGCCACTGCCTTTCAAGCGGGTGGCTGTGTGCCCAAGGGTATTCGAGTTTATGTTGCTACTTCATTGGCAGCGCGAGACCCATCCCTCAAAACCAAACAAATAGCCTGGTCATCTTGGCAACATGCGTCAGAGTTTGCTTCATCCCACTTGCGACAGCCACTCTTGCCCACTCCTTTGAAGCTCGAGCTGCCTCGCGCAAAGGGACATATGCCAAAGCTGGTCCGATGCCACATAGCTCCACCCCACGCTTCCCTCTGCAAGCTGAATGCTTAAGGAGACGACCTACGAACAACCGTTTCTGGCCTCATGGTTCCCGGTGGTCTTCCAGTCTTCCAGCCGGCAAGAGGAGAGCCCTGCCTTGAAGCCTTGGCCTTGAATTGTCTGATGGGCATAAATTCCCCTGTGATGTCCACCAGCCAATTGACGGCATACCCACGTTGAGAATGGCAAACAAATACAGGGGGCCAGTCGGTTGTGCTTCCAAACCGAAGCAAAGGCGTCGGGCACTTACAAGCGCAGCCGGGAAATCGTTGCAAATGTAGGTCTCTTGCCAAATCCTCCGCCTGCACCTTTTGCAGGCGGCCGGAAAAGTCCTCCGAAGCGGGGGTTGGTGAGAAGTAAAGGGCCGCCTGACAAGCTGCTGGTACGACCGAAATCTGGACCTTCATGCAAGTTGAACCATCCAAGATCAATGCAGCTTGAAAAGCAGCACAGTTTTGAACACTTGCAACTTGCAACATCTGCAAAGTCAACCAGAGCAGGTTCACATGAATGTCCCCACAAATTATTCATGGTTCCTTCAGCCCCATGCTGTAGGCGCGCAACAATCAAGAGCCTATGCAGTGCTATGGGAGTGCATCGTCCAATGCATTCTGCTGCGTGTAAAACAGATTCCCAACAACAATGTTAATCTGCAGAAGTGTAGGGTAAAGTTCAAGGTAGCTCAGCTTTCCTGTCTCTTTTCCGCTAAGCATGACGCGCACCAGTATGGGAGGGAACGCTTGAATATCTTCGGATGCCCTCACATGGGTGCCGGCTTGAGGACCGGGGGCGTTGAGGGGATGTGCCACAACAAGTCGGGCCCTTTTGGGCATGAAGCTCGGGGGGGCAACATTTCGCTCACCGATGGGTGGGCTGCTTTTCTGCCAAGTCTTCAACCAGCATAATTCACAGACAGGCACGCCCTTCCTAAAAGCATCCTTCCCGCCAACGGACCAATCTGGATTGCAACTCCGCCAGGTAGGAGGGAGCCCTCTCAAGAAACGAGCCATCTTTTGGATTCGAAAGGAGCCCCTCCTCTTTTTGGGGGGGAAGCAGCGGAGCGGGGCCATCTCTTCATCACGCCCCCTGTCGCCTGCGGAAGGCGCCATGCCTGAGCACAGGAGCGTTTGAGGTGGCTGGGAGGGGGTCCACTAGTTAGAGTCCCCACATGTCATAGACTCGATACTTTGACCGAACCGAACACACGAGTCCTGTCATTGGAGTCTTTCCAAGGGAGAAACAAATGCATTTCTCAAAATAGGGGTCCCCCCGAAAAAGGTGGTTGCCTTGTGGTGTCCCTTTCAATATCCACTAGAAGGGGGTTCATCTTTGTGAGAAACTCTTCTTCTGCTGGTGCTTGCATAGAAACCCAAAGAAAATGACCATGTGTCGAATTCTGTCCGAGAGTCATTTTGATCGAACACGATGAAGGTGAAAAACATATCTGCGCCATGTTCACATGCTCCGACTCCCATCTGAAACACCAACATTGCCCTCCCTGAAGGGGAAACTGATTCGGCCGGTTGAAAGTAGTGTTGAGTGTGAGTTCGAACGCAACCACAATGGCAAACCATACTTCTCCGTCGGAGTGTGACAGATCGCCGCGAATACTGTAATCCAAACGAGCTGGTCGCAACTTATTTTCTCTTCGCAAGAACTGTCCATCCCAAACACAACAGGCCATTGTTGCATGGCCGTGGCCAAAAAACCTTTTCTGCCGTACCAAACGCCCTTTTCACTCTGTTGCTTCGCAAAGGTTCCCTTCCTGTCGCAAATCGCCGATGGGTCCTTTCAGCCCCCATTCGCCCGCCTGGAGTCAAAGCCGGGCCAACCTCTGAGCCCAAGCTGTGGAGAAAAAAGTCCGACGTAAGGCACGGCAGGAAAGCGGGGAAAACGGCGGAGACGCCGGGGGCTGTCAGAACTGATAACCGGCGGTTCTTCAATTGGTGGCTTGGAAGATGGCGTTCAAATTCGGTGATCCGTTTTGGTGTTGGTGTCGAAATTAAAATCCACTTTGTATCGGCTTTGGCCTCACAAAACGTTTCCGGGATCCAAATCGTGTCTTCTGCCAAGGCCTCTGGCTTCCAAAATCTCAGGCCAAGGCATCGCCATGAGCCCGCGAAATCTTGGGACATGGAACTGTCCCACACAAGACAGTATCCACCCACCAAAAGAATGGGTGAAACCGGTCGCAACGCCCCGAAAGAGGGAAACTTGAAGAGCGCTAAAGTTGGCTTTCTGGAACCCATTGAGTTGTCCTCAGAATTTGTTTTCCCTCGGACGTGGCGAAGCTCCAACCACAGCGTCCAACCACCGGCCAACCAACCGGAAGCGATGAATCCAAAACTACCAGCCTAGTTGATCCAAGGGGGTGTTGGAGTTCCATGGGGATACGAGTCACTCACTGTTGGGGGAACGTCCCCATGAATCAATGAATCCGGGGTCGGAGGTATCTGTCTCTGCGGTATCTTCGCCATCTCGGAGTGGCTCTACGTTGAAGGGGGCTCAAAAGTAGTTGGGCTCTCCTGGGTTGCTTGCTTCAAGAGGCAACCTGGAAGAAAACCATTCGTCTTTACACAGACCAATGGGTCCCTTTATCACTGTGTTGTAAGATTGCTACACAGTTCGTACAGAAACATTGACAAGTAAGCATTCGCAAAGTTATCCGTGAGCTGTTTCACCTCTGCCACTTGAGGATGCCTGCTATGTTCCGGCGCTCAAAAAGCATCGTGCACACCATGTGCATCACAAGTAGAGACCCAGCGACAGTTTCATGAGGTGGAGGCCTCGCCCAGAACTGAAAAAAATCAGGGGGAGGAAAAAACAAAAACGAGGGACCTCCCTTGGCGACCTTCCTGTATAACATAGAATCTTTCCATCTGGGAGTTGATCCATATTCCTGGCCCCAAATGACCATGTGCAACTTCTCCCATTCAGTGGAGCTGAAATATATCTCATCGTTCGTGACGTTTTGAATGGCCGTGCCCACGCAGCACGGACCCTTTGATGCACCCGGGCGGTTCTCGCGCCGCCGCCGCCGCCCGTTTTTTCCTTCCTCCGGCCTCACGTTCCAGGCAGCCGGGGCCTGGGGCTTGCGGCGCCATGAAACCGACGCCCACGAGCCGATCTTTGGAAGAGAGGTCGTTTCCCAGTGAGGCGTGTCATGTTTTTTTGGGTTTTTTCTTTCTTCTCCCACCAAACCCTGGAGCCTCCTATGGAGGGCAACTTTTGAGACCCTTCAAGGGGCAAATTCCCCAAAAACTCTGCTTCAAAAAGTGGATGGCTCCGTGAAAGATGGCACAAGTGCCTGTGGGTAGGTAGAAGCGGTGTGCCATCTACTTTCACCCAGCGGCAGATTCGACATCAACGTGCAAAAGCAACGTAACTAGGGGGAGGCTCCGACGACCCTGGTCAGGGAAGCTTGGCCCCCTGATGTGTGTGTGTGTGTGCTTGTCGTTGGTTCGCGGTGACAGTGTTCCTGCCCCCTCGCGCACAAGCTCAAAGAAACTCACAACAAAGAGACAACGGTGCAACTGGCGAAAACGTGCACAATGGATTTTACTGCGGAGACACATCGCAACAGCCCAATGCTAACAAGCAGTCCTGGCAGCTTCCCCTTCAGCAAGAGTTTGTCAACTGAACATGAGCAATCCCAAGAAATTAAGAATCAAAAGCAACAGAATCGTTGTGAGTAAGCTGATGTCAGAGAAAGCAGCCTTCAGCGTTTGCCCTCCAACCAAAGAAAGTTGCTTTCTTCTGGTCTATCTTTAGTGAGCCAAATGCGAGATAATTTGTAGCAGGCCCTGGTAACACTGGTTTCAATGCGGTAAGCTTGTGACACCCGTTACGAATTTCAAGGGAAAATACCCGCCCCAAAAGTAGTTGCATGTTTTCCATGTAAATGAAGTGCTCCAAAGGGTCCCCAGCTCATTTTTGCCCTCATTACCTAATGAATGAAACATGCCAAACAAAATCAGCCCAGGCGCTCACAAAGCCAAAGGAGCCTTTGCCAGAAAAATGGCCTGTCATTGCACAAAGGCCAATGTACCTCTTCTGCCCGCGCTTTTCTGAAACGACTGGCAACGCGCATGCAATCGCAACAATTCGCTCATCGTGGCAAACCGGAGCGCCCATGTTTTGCTCCTTGTCTCGTCCCCAGACAGCTACAAGTCGATCACAAAGAGCACCATGCCCTCGATCGCTTCCCCGCCAGTTCCCTCTGCCAAGGTCTTGAACACCGGCTCCCCCTTGAACCTCCAGGTGGCATAGTCCTAAGGGGTTGACATGGGCTAACCAGGAAGCCTCTGAAAAAAGACATCCCCTTGTCGGTGTCCTTTTGGGGGGACCGGGAAAACAACATGGGCGATTTGGAAACCACCCGTCCAGCGTGTAGAGCGGCCTCCCGCCATTTGCGCGCACCGCGCCCTGGGACCCCTTCCCGGTGCACTCCACCAGAGCGTACTTGAACCTCAGCGAAGCGGGCGTCGCCTTTTTTGGTGTCTGGTCATTGTTGACACATAAACAGGGGTGAATTATAAGGGTTTTCGGCCAACCTCCTGTTTCAAACACAAAGACATATTGGCATTGGCTACCCAACCTCCATCTGGGGCGAGAGTCTCCTTGGTTAAACTGCCTGAGAGAAACCATGGACCCTCGAAAACAACCCATGGGGTGGATCATAAGCCCAGTTCGCCAGTCCAAAGAATCGCCGAGGCGACTGGCTAAGCTACTTTGCGGGGGAGCTGAGGGGAAATCACCTCCAAGCGCAGGGTCAATGACCTGCATGGAGCTGAAGGGGTTCCATGTTTCTCTGGGGGAAAAGGGAAAATAGATGTTTGGGGCAGGAACCTCATGCCGGTGATGTCTACTGAACGGGTCTCCGATTGAAAGTCATACCCAGCACGTAAAACATGAAGGCATGTGCTGAACTACCTCAGCAAATTGCCCTCAGCCCCAAATGGTTTCGTTCTGGTCCACATTCAGCGAATCTTAAAATGTGTAACGAGTTCAACAAACAAATCCCAGTCAAATGGGTGTTTCTCAGAATTGGGGAGGGTCCCCTAAAAATGGTTGCTTTCCTTCTAGTTCCCCAACAGCTGAAAGCTATGGGGTCTCTGCCAGGATAGGCTCTGGGCTGGTTTGGGGGAGCTTCGAGGGAGGGTTCCAGGAGGGTTCCACGGCTGTTGGGGATACCACTTGGGATGTATTTCCTTTTAAGTGCCAACCAGAAGGGGAAGGTTCACATTTCTCGCGAAACACTCCAATGTTGTCACGCCTTCCCTCTTGCCGCTCGGGCGCCCCTTGGCCTTGGCCAAGCTGAGCGAGCGCCGGGTGAGCTCACTGGCCAGCTTCTGGCCCCGATAGTCCGGCACCACACACAGCCTCCGCTCGCGTCGATCGGCCAAAACTTGCGATCGGTGGATTCGAGAGATGTGGGGAAGGAGACATGGAATGACCCCGAGAAAAACCATCCAACTGGTGGTGTCCTTTAAGGGAATCCCTGGGTTCATTCCCTCATTCCCTACTGAGCACCAGCAAGAGAATGGAAATGCAAATGAATCGCAAAGGGATGTTTGTTGGACATGCTCACGAGAGGGGTTTTCGGTCGTCCGATGTAAGTGGGTGGAGCAAAGGGATGCTTGTTTTGAAAAAAATAATACCAGGGTTCTAAAAACTGTGGTCGGTCTACTTCTTGGACTGTTGGAAAACGAGGGCACTTCGACTTAGATGGTCGGCCAAGGTGACCTCCACTAATCTTAGAATAAGGAAGACCTACAAGTTGAAACCTAGGCTGCCAAAACCTACTCTGGAATGGCTGCGTCCAAGAAATGAATTGGAACCCCTCAAAATGGCCACGTGGTGCTGATAGGAAAAGAAGCACCGGCCTATCCAAAAGTGGTTGCTGTTTGTAGGACGCCGCAACAAATATGACAGCACCTTTGTTTTGTAGCACGCTGAAGGGAATACCGTCCAAAATCGTAAAATTATATGGGCTGAGTGGGCTGGGCCTAAAGGAGACATCCTCCACATTTCAACAAACATGGGTTCCTTTTCGAGGGTTACCCGCCGCGAAGTCCAAAACATGCCGGTGAAATTCAAGGGATGCCGGGCCCCGAGAGACTCACAACAAAGGCTCGCCTTCCGCCGCCTGATGCCCTCGGAGTGGATCCGAGCGATCGTATCACGGTGGAAAGCACCATGAGTCCCATTTGCTCGGAAAGCAAAGGAGCTCCAAGCCATCAACCCTTGGGCCTTGTGGGAATTGGAGCAAATCCGGCAAAAATCAAAAAGCATCAGCAAATTCTAGCTCCACCAAAAGTGGAAACCCTCACAAAGACAACCCGACAACACATGAGTTCCAAAAGAAACACCCTTTGGCGAAGCAGCATCCAGAGGTGGAAGAAGCGGCCCTTCGGCAGCTCGGGCCGCTCCTTGGCCGAGTCCAGCTGGAACGCGTCGATGAAGTCGTCCAACTCACCGATGGCCGCCAGCGCCGGCATGTTCCCATCCGCGTCGATCACCGCCTGCAGGCCCTCGGGTTCTGGGACCAACTTCGGGTGGGTTCCATGGCGTGTGTCTATGGCCTATGGCGAACTTGAATTTGCCAAGGGAACTCCCTGAAACCAACAAAAAAATGCGGTAGCCTCGAAATCGACCATCGTTGGCCCTCCCACAGAAGGCTGGGCGGCCCTGAAGGGAACCACCTTTAGAGGAAGTGGCTGGTCCACTTTGCTGGTACCTGGGATCCACTACGCCACCAAGGCCCCCAACAGGTGGCGACTTTGGAGACCGCGGGGACCGGCGTTTCGGGGCCTGGAGGTTTGGAGATTGGGGGATTCTCCGTGGAGTTCTCGTCGTTCTCTGGGTCATTCTCCGTCAAGGATACCTCCAACCAACTGATTTTACCTTGGGATCCTTTAGATTTAGCTGGCAAAGGAGTTGTGACTGGCCGCAATAGCATTCCCTTCTCCCGAACAAGCCGCCGCCGGGTTTTCCGCAGAGAGGTCCGAGTTGAGGAACCCTCCGGCGATGCGTCCGCTGCGCTTGTCCCGCGCCAGGATCGTCAGGCCCTCGACGCCCATCCGCGGAGTGAAGAGCCGGGTGAAGTTTTGGTGGTCTCGCCTAGGCCCCTTTCTGTCAAAAGTGGTTGATTCCCAGGACTCCTGTAACACTTTGAAGGAGATTCCCTTGGTATCACAGAAACTGAGCTGACCCAAAACCCGAATAAACTGGGCGTCGCTTCAAAAGGTTCCACGACTGAAGGAGATGCTTTTGGTATCACAGAAACTGAGGCCCGAAAGCCCAACAAAAACTGGACGCCATCCCTCCAAAAGGAAAAAAAACAACGGAACTTCCCGGCCGAGCCGCAAGGAAAAGCCCAGGCACCGCTCGGTCAGCGGCTCCCCATGCAGAAAAGCCAGGCTGAAGGCGTCGGTGACCTCATCCACCTCCGCCTCTGTCATGACCTCTCGGACAGACACATGGGTGCAACGCCTGCCGTAAGATCAGCCAGCCAAAAAAAGGTGCCCTCAGCCGCATATTTGGACGAGCTCGCAGGGTGGCAACTGAACTCCGTGGCTGCTAAGGATTTGTTAAGGCAAATGGATGTTTTAAGGGGACCCCCAAAATGGTGGTTTTCCTCTTGGTTTTCCTCTTTTAAAGAGGGCACCCTCAAAACACGATCGGCCCCTATGAATGAATATCGTTTGGCCGCCAGGCGAGTATTTTTCCTCTTTTAGGGGGGTTATTCGTTAATTGGGGGGAACGGGTGACAATCTCCCCGTATGTTCCCACAGAAGGGGCGGCCTACCCTTCTTGTGTCGTGCAGTTCATGGAGGCTATCAATCAGTGGGCTGGTCAATGCAAGTTTCAGGTGGGGTGTCCTGGTGATTCACAGCAACTCGACCTTTTGACTTCGGATCATGGCAACCCTTCGCTCCTCCCCTCCTCCCCCTTTTGCCCTGGGAAAATTTGTGAGTGCCGCTGGTTTGGGGGAAAACCAGGCCCCCCTTGTCCCCTGCCAAATTCAGCATAGGCGTATGCAGCGGTATGCATCTGAATTTGGGGACCCTGTCGTGGA